ACAGTGTACCCAGAGAGCACGCACTTTGCCTACTTTGGTCATACTGGTCATGGAGCGAAATATATGGCACTTTCTGTTTCAAAAAAAATTTGAGCATCTGAGCAATGTACTTTATTGTCAAAATTGAGTCAGATTTCATAGCATGCTATTAAATTGCAGCGGAACGTAAGAAAACGTTTGGAATTATATAAGAATTTACAAACAGTATTATTTGTATGTGTTAACTAGAGCGTTTAGTGGGCTAAGTTTGTTTTTCCACGATATGTTTACGGTATATTTTGAAAATGAGGCGGCATAATTCAGTATATTTCTGACGGTCAGTCACACTGCAAACGCAGTGAAAACTTAGTTGAATAAACAAAAAAAAAATTTATTATTTTAACAACAATGGTGGGTACAATTTAAATATTTTTTAAAGTGCAATGAAAAAGCCTTGGCTTCTTGTGCTCGTTTTGCGAAAGTGTTGGCTTCTTATTTGCGACGTGGAAGCATCATTTTACCCACAGCGCCAACTTACGCACTTTTGTTGTTGTATTTATGCAATTTGCCTAGACATCATCATTGTGTTAAATTGCCCGTCTGTCTATTATAATACATTTATTTATAACTGTTCTATTGACTCGCTTATCCGCAGAACAAGCTCAAGTCGAGCCAACACCGAGACAAGGTGAAGAAGTTTATTTCACTGACACAGACAGGGGAACAGACTGCAATTTTTTGTCTGCAACAGAATGACTGGAAAATGGATCTGGCCAGTGACAACTACTTTCAAAATCCCGAGTATTATTACCGCGAGCTAGACCGGAAGCGAATCGATCAGTTATATATACGATACCGCGATCCGAGTGATCCGCTTAAGATCAGTTCTCAAGGCGTGATTCGATTTCTAGAAGATCTAGACCTAAAACCCGACTCGAAGCTTGTGCTGATCATTGCGTGGAAATTTCACGCCGAAGTACAGTGCGAATTCTCGCGGGATGAATTTACAAATGGCATGTGCGAACTGGGCATCGATAGCATTGAGAAACTCAAGTCGAAGCTGCCATTGCTGGAGCTGGAACTGAATGATGCTGGCAAGTTCAAGGATTTTTATCACTTCACTTTCAACTATGCCAAGGATCCGGGACAGAAGAGCATCGATCTGGATATGGCAATTGCATACTGGTGCATAGTGCTGAGCGGACGCTTCAAATTCTTGGACATTTGGTGCAAGTTCCTCGAGGAGAAACACAAGCGAGCCATTTCGCGAGACACCTGGAATTTGCTCCTCGATTTTGCCACCAATATCGATGATGGGATGAGTAATTACGACTCGGAAGGTGCATGGCCTGTACTTATCGACGACTTCGTTGAATGGTGCCAGGAAAACAATCATCTGAAGGAAGATCCATCGTCAGGGTGCCAGTCAACGTCTCAAAGAAGCATATCTAGCGTTTACCCGACCTCTCATAGTACAAATATGAATTATGGCTAACGAATTGTTAGAGCTATTGCTATATTCTCATTATTAATAGATTTGCTTTTATTCTGATTATTCTAAATAATGAAAATATTAAGCAAGGCAGGTACACTTACATTTTCTCTAAACAAAAAAAGGCGTAAAAATACAAAAAATTAGCAAATGTACGTATATGAGTTAGTGATACGATTCGATATATAGATTACTGGTCTGTCCATGACCCATGAAGAAACTATATAAGAAGGTCTCGTAGGCAAAAATTATGGAAAAGTGCGAGTGAAAGGGCTCTCGCTGCAAGTATGAGAGCAACGGCAATGGAGTGTGCTGTCGACAAGCAAACGATCACTGAGAATTGGGAAAAGCAGCGAGTAACTCTGCCACCGACGAGGCCTCCTTATATAGTTGCTTTATGTCCATGACCATGAAGAAACTATAAAGAGGCCTCGTCCGTGGCAGAGTTACTCGCTGCTTTTTCTTGCAGTCAGTGCTCGTTTGCTTGTCGACGCGGAAGGTTTGTTGCAGCACCTCAGTGCAATTGAGACCGGCAGATGCATGATCCAGCCACATAAGGAGTGATGGAGTGCCGAAGGTTACTCTTCAATCGATTTTTCTGCGGACCTGCAAAAGACAGTTAAAGGGTAATAGTTTTAAAGTAACAGTTTCAATGTGAAAATGACCTGCCATCCAACCTGTTGTCTCCGACCGTGTCCCTCTTTGGCATTCATCTGGAAAGCACAAGCAGAATAGGCACCTCGATGAACTTATGACCCTCGGTGGAGCCTTGGCCAGGCCATTAGCTCGCGCCAGCACCATTGCACCGTCCTCATGTCTGGTGAAATTTCTGGAAGCCTCCTAAGGACAAATTGACGCACAAGACATGGAGTACATATAAAAAGCGTATAATAGACATTCTTTCGTCTTTCTTTTTTCGCGATTTTTGGTTCCTCTTTCCTTTGTTTTGTTATGGACGGCTTTCTGAAGTAACCGATAGCCGACAGGGCTGGAGAAGAAGAGCAGACAGCGGCCTCTGGTGTGGATCGTGGGAGGCTGAAAAAGGGTTGCAAGGTGGCAAGGAAGAGAGAAGGAAAGTGGCCGTAAAGGTTATATTGAGAGGGTCAGTTTCCGGGAAGAAGTGTAAGAGATTGGTCGGCAACCAAAAGCAAAAAAAAGAGAGAAAAATAAAATCCGTGCCCAGACCCGTACCAAAAAGAACATCACGATACCGACAACCGCGAAGCGGAGGAGAACATGGTAAAATTACTAATAGGTGACGTTGTCACCACAGTGCCTTCTCATTCGAGGAATACCAGCTTGTCAGTCTTTTGGCAAACGTTGACGAAAGAGGTTGTGTAGCGCACGATTATTTCATTGTCTTCTTCTTCCTTTTCTTCATTGTTTACGAATGAAGACGTAAGTGGAAGACAATGCAACTACTTTTTTATTTTGGATGTGTAATGTAATGTGTATGTAATTTAATCTTTATTCAATTACATCTTTTTTAGAAACAAATATGTCTGCAAAGTATTTGCTGCTATGCCGCTTCAAATCTTTACTTGCTGTCAGAAACAATAAAAGCAAATAGTGCAGAACGTAAAACTTTTTTTTTTTTCATTTTCGTTTTCATCCAACCTCATTCGCACGTCATATATTTATTCCCGGAACATCTAATATCAATTCACACTTAGCACATATATTTTCGTTGGACTTAAAATTCCACAACACAACAGTCACATGAAATAAAATAAAAGAAAACAACAACACAAAATATTTTAGGATAGTTTTTTCGTTAAGTTCCGTTTCTTTAATCTATGTAAGAGTCTATTCCCCCCCCCCCCCCTCCCACGTAGCGTGTAAAAAAATTAGATCTGTCCGTTACACGCGAGAAAATAGGTTTTTTTTGTTAAATCCGTCCCCTGGCTATCGGGTCGAAAACACCCCTGACTTCCCCGAGAGCTAGCCGGGAACGATAGACCAGGGCGGCAAAAAGGCGGATCATTACAGTTTATTTGTGTACAGTGTTGATATATCATCTGACAAGCCCTTTCAGAATAAGTTGGCTTGTTTCCTTGAGGGAAAATCGAGTCGTGTAGTGTAGATTTGGGTCTTTGACCCAGTTTTTATAAAATATTCTTTACATTTAATTTACTAATTCTATTTTCCTCATCATTTTTTAAATATAGGTCATACGACTTTGCATTAACTTTAGTTCAGCAAATGGTAAACAAATTCTGTAGCATTTCCCAAACATCAAATTTTCGAAATTACAGTAGATGCAGTTGCTCCATTTGAAAATATTGGAGAAATGGGGATGGGACCCATTAATATTGGAGAATTTTCGATAGTTGATCCACATTCCACAGTTGATCCAATTTTTACAATTGGATCAACTGCTATGGGACCCATTATTAATTTTGAAACAGATCCGTTGCAAAATATTAATAGTTTTAAAAATAATGATTGCAATAATCTAAGCGAATTATGTTCTTCTCAACAAGAACAAATACAAAATTTGCTAGAAAAATTTGCTAGAACAAGTGCAATTGCTTTCGATCCGAGATCAAGAGCACCCCTAACAATGCTGTCAATAAGTGAGAGTGAGAGGGCTCTGCTCAGTAAGTGTGAGTGAAACTACATTGAAATGTGCTTATTAACCTTTTGATGGAATTGGGTTTAAAATTGCCCATTGCAAGAAAAGGTTTTGATGTTTTCTTTTATATTTTGATTATTAATAATTTACTGCTTGAAAGTAGTCGTTACTATTGTTTTTTAATATATACTTGTATTTTTAGGCTCTTATTTCTAAAATAGGCTGCAACGTTCTTGCTTCAAAAAAGAAAATAAAAATGTATTTATAATATTAAGTATAGCATATATATATTATTTTGGTTGAACTTTTTAATTTTAACCTTATTATGCAATCAATTGAGAAAAGATGTATCGTAAAATCAGCAAATACTGCGGAGAATTGAATGATGATTTGAGTAAAATTTTATTTGTAAAGCTGAGAGTCCTACACAAAGTCAATCTATTTATTTTTTGGGGCAAGCTCAAGTTTGAAGGAAGGGTATGTGAGCTCAGAAGCAACACAAAAGTGCCAAACGTCTCAAGCGCTAAAAATGAAAACGCATTGCTATCATATGTTCCATATGTGTCACCGCACACATGAAATTACGAAGCAGACTTGAAAGGAAAAACAAAACTTTGTTTTTGCGAGAGTCGCTTTGCGTTCAATGCTCAAGAGAGCCAACTCTCAGCCGAAGGTTCTCTCACCAAGAGCCGAAGGCACTGGGAGCGAATCCACTAAACTGATAAGGCAGCCAGTTTTTACCACGTTTGCACACTCTATGAGTTGTTTGCTTAGTGGTTAAACATTAAAATCGAGGAAAAGGATTTTAGATTCACGGTATATTTACAGTATATTTGGAAAATGCAAGGGTATATTTCGGTATATTTTCGAGGCCCTCACTGTATATTTGATCGATAATTCCGCGGTCACACTGGGTCCAACCCTTCCACATCCCCAGGAGTGTGACCGTTTTGCTGATTATTGGTACAACTAGTTTCGCTGTTAAAAATATTTATTCATATTAAACTTTGTACAAAATGTAAAGTCATAAACTAAGTTTCCCAGATCTTTAAGTGTTTAAAAGACGACTCCCCTTCTCCAAAAACCCGTAGTCTTTTTGACTGCGTGTGTGTGGCCATAAAATCAAAGGGAATGAGTGGATTTACCTTCAAAAACGTTTAATTTACAAATCCCTTGCCCTTGGATAGAGGCGACTGAGCTCTATATAATCAAATTTAAGCAAATAGTCTGCGCGAATACGAACCCAGTTATCATGTGAATAACTCGCTCGTCTCGCCCTAATTGGTCGAAATTTAAACAAATACATACACGAGTACAGAGCCAAGAGCTCTAACAGTCGTGTGTATATGTGAATATATATTGTGTAAATAAATTCCACTACACAGACCAAAATTAAACAAAAACAAGTTTGTTCCCTGATAAGCACAGAAATTGGAATAGGACAACGCAGCGGCATCGTCGCCCGTGTAGACCTCGGAACATCACCAAATCCCTTCTTTTAGCGTAATTCTTGCACTGCAGGGATAGTAGTGCCTGAGATCCTAAATATTTAGTGCACGTATCCGCATCTCCTCGTAGAGGGACAGCAGATTCTGTTTATATATTTATACACACACATATACACATATTTGTCTGTTTATATTTGTACACACTAGTTTCTGATTCTACTATAAGCAGATATTAACTCTCCGGAAGGACTGGAAGTGACTTTTCCAGACAAATGCTAAATAATTTATTACATTACAGCAGCTGACAACATGTCAGCCAATAGCTGCAGCAAATACGCCACCAACAAGAAAAACAAAAGACTAGACCGCTAAGGTCAAAGGGTAGAAACCAGGATCATGAGTCGCCAGGATGCATCTTCCTCGCTGTCGAGAGGGGGACTTCGATCAGCGGAAGGAGTGGCCGGCTCAAGAACAACATCCTCTTATGCAGCCGCAGCCACCGTTAGTAAAATATCCACCTCAACGCCACAGAAGAGCCACGAGCAAGAGCAGGAGTTCATCAATCGGAGTGTGGCCAGCGAAATAGATGCCGGCGACGCTCTGGCTTTGTCCATGACTGTTGATAGCAGCGTCTCAACGGCCTCTACCATGAGTGGCAGCCCAGTGGCTAGACGTCAACTGAGCACAGCTAATCTGCCCCGAACACGTCCCCAGTCTAGTTACTCGGCCCGGGTTCTCATCTTTGACGATTCAGATCAGGAGGCTGCTACCGCAGCTGCTGCTCTAGAAGCCGCCTCGGTTTCCTGTCATAGCAACGTAAAGTGCAGTGGCACATCATCAGGGAAGCTGTCGATTGGAAACGATAGCCCCAATAGCTCCTCGATGATGAGAAACCTAAACCTAACCAAGAGCTCATCCGGCGGCCTATCAGGCAGCTCCAGCTCATTGCACTCTCGTGGCTACACGGCTCTGCTCCGCAAGATTTCATATGAGCAGCACAGTAACTCCTTGCGTGCCGTCAGCAGCGGTAAGAAATGATTGATGCCCACGAGATATTTCCAATATATATAATAATTATCAAATCGTTCTGCTCATTTCGCAGAAGCATCCAACTTGCTGCGCATGCGGCACTCCTCGCTTGGAAAGTCAGCTCCCTGTCTCACAGTCAACTATTTCCGTCATGAGCTGGCTGGTCCGTCCATGGCTCAGGCCAAAAGCCATTCAGCAGTTGCCTCGCCAGGCAACAACATCTCGCGGTCTGGCAGCTGTGCGGGAATTGGTCTGGTCAAACATCATCACCATTATCTCCATGGTGTGGTGATGCGTGGGTCGGCAGGTGGCGGGGCTGGCTCGGGCTCCACTGGTGGTGTCGCTCATCACCGTCTCAGCCTGGTCACGAATGCTTCTGCTGTCGCCTCGACCGTCGGCTCGCGTGCGCACTCTCCGTACTCGGCCAGTCCCGTGGACAGTCCGCGTCTCAATTCGCCCATGCCATTTGCATTTGCTCCCATCAAGCGGATCGCCTCATGCCGTGGAGTGGTGGATGGACGTCGTTGGTCTGTGGCATCGTTGCCCTCCTCCGGTTACGGCACTACCCCAGGCAGCTCCAATTTATCGGTAAACTTGATAACAATTTGAGAATATTTTGATTGCATTTTAAAATGATCATACTGTCTGTTGCAGTCTCAGTGTTCTAGTCAGGAGGCACTAAACCAACTGCCGCACAACATTCCGCCATGTGTACAGGATGCTGATGCTGCCGCTGTTGCCTCCGGCGCCTGCTGTGCCGAGCATCTCAGGCAGCACTGTCCCAGGCATTGTGTTTTGTTGTTGGCCGCAGCCCAGAAGCAGCACAAGCAGCCCAAGTCAACTCAGTTGCCGCCGCAGAAACGCGTTGCAGGTTGCATAAATTGCTGTGCTGATTTAAGCCTCGCCTGTAGCGGAAAGGGTCAGGATAATAGCAATAGCTCAGACGGCGTCGCCCAAGGACGGTTGTCGCCCCATTTTCGATCACGCTCCCGATCGTTATCCAGCCCCTCGCGCTCGCCCATTGTGGACAATGAGATTGCGGTGATGAATACTCTGTACAAGGAGCGGTTTCCCAAGGCCACCCAGCAGATGGAGGAACGTTTGAAACACTTTATTCATGAGAATAAAAGCGCTGCTTGTAGCAGCTTTCGGGACTCCCAGCCCATAGTGCGGTTTGTGCATCATCAGGTGCTGGAAATGGCCCGCGATTGCCTACACAAATCAGAGGCGAAGCTGATTACCTCGCAATATTTCTACGAGCTGAGTGAGAATCTAGAGCGATTGCTGCTTGAGACCAAGGAGAAGTCACCGGAAGCAGCCGCCGAGTTGAGCGGGGTGATAAAAAAACTATTATTGATCATCTCACGCCCGGCCCGCCTGCTCGAGTGCCTGGAGTTTGATCCCCAAGAATTCTACGAACTACTGGAGGCGGCCGAGGGTCATGCCATGGGTATGCCCGTCATTAAGGCAGATATACCGCAGTATATCATTCACAAACTGGGCCTAAATCGGGATCCTATTGCCGAGCTCCAGCAGGAATTGCGGGAAACACAGCAGATGTGCTCGGAGCAGGTCACAGTGGATGCGGACCCACTGCAACAGGGCGGTTCCCTGCTACTCAACTCCCCTCTTACCAATGCCGCCAAGCAGTTAAGCAGCTTGGCCCTGGATGCCGTGGTTCTGGATTATCCCGTCCATCCCAGTGGAACTAGTACACCACAGCAGCCGCCTCAAACGCCAGTGGCTGCGTGTGACTCACAACCTGCTCCCAGCTTCGCCTTGGCGGTTAGTCAGCTAAACGAGGCGGGAGAAGCAGCTGGATCAGGCACTGGGACGGCAGCCTCGCAGCTCCAGATATCTACTGCAGGTCTACCACAGCCATTACCACACGAAAACGACTTTGACATTGCCAAGCTGATCTCAAATGGTGCTTATGGAGCCGTATATTTGGTGAAGCACAAGACAACCCGTCAACGCTTCGCCATGAAGAAAATTAACAAGAATAATCTAATTTTGCGCAACCAGGTGGAGCAGGTATTTGCCGAGCGGGACATACTGTCGTTTGCCGACAACCCCTTCGTTGTCAGCATGTATTGCTCGTTTGAAACGAAGAAACATCTCTGCCTGGTCATGGAGTATGTTGAGGGTGGGGACTGCGGAACCCTTCTCAAGAATATTGGACCGCTGCCAGCAGATATGGCCCGGTTCTATTTCGCCGAAACAGTATTAGCAGTGGAGTATCTACACAGCTATGGAATTGTCCATCGCGACCTTAAGCCGGACAACTTGCTGATCACTGCCCTCGGGCACATTAAGCTGACCGATTTCGGCCTCTCGAAGATGGGCCTCATGTCGCTGGCAACCAATTTATACGAGGGCTACATTGACTCGGAAACCCGGCAGTTTTCTGATAAGCAGGTGAGCAGAGTTCACCCAAAGAGAGCTACAGTGCTCTGGCAAACAAATATGCTGTCCGTCCGTCTGTCCGTCCTGATGAGCGCCTTGTACCCAGAGATCATAATAGCTAGAGTACTAAGTGTTGCATCCAGACTTCTGTAATATCACACATTGCACTGTTACAAGTGTGTTTCAAAATTTCGACCCGCCCCCACTAAGGTCGCAAATCTGTTCCAGGTTTGAATATACGAGGCTCATTTTTGAAATACACTTGTAACAGTGTGAGCATACAGAAGTCTGAATGCAATATTTGGTGGCTCTAGCTTTTATAGTCTCTGAGATCCAGGCGCTCAACAAGACGGACGGACAGACAGACATGGCTCAATCGACTCGGTTATTGATGCTGATCAAGAATATATATACTTTATGGGTAGGAAACGTTTCCTTCTGTGTGTTACATAGATTCACTTTGTGCACAAATTTACTCTTCGAGTACCGCAGTTCTGTAGGGAATACATACAGTTGCGGCGAAAAAATTAGCACCGTGGGGTACAACAGTCTTCATTGTTTCCAAAAACAAACCAAATTCAAAATTTTTTTGCACTTTGCCGTAATATAAAGTAGGTTGAGAAGTCTCCTATCTGAGATAAGTGTCCTTAATTAAAGCAATTTTTCGAAAAAGAAGCGAAATTGAACGGCAACAAAAATAGCATAACAACTTTTGCTTTTCGAGTTTTTTGATACATTATTTTTTGAATTGATATAATAGTCGGTAGTTTAAGTCATTTGTAAACAGACAGTTACAAAATATTAGTTTTTATGAGTCGTCGAAAGCACTTTATGTGCGGAAAATAGTAGGTTCCTCATCGAAAATGATTCGTAATGCTTTAAAACATGTTACCAACAAGAAACTCGTGAAAGAACTGGCGCAATATCCCCAAGTCGGTTGAAAATGCTGGTTCCTGAGAGCAGGAGGTGCCCTTTTAAGTCGGCCACAGAGCCACAGGATAAGAGATAAGCAAGCCTCGAATGAGAATGTGGTGAATCCGTCACCTTATTAGTAATTTCACCATGGTCTCGTGTGTGTCTCTCTGTTTATTCACACAGTGTACGCTGAATACTCTAATGGAAAATATTTGTAACGCCAAGTCAATTGCCGTTATTCATTATTTGTATACATATTTAGATGTTTATAATCGTTTATCCCTTTCGTCCTAACTGTATTTTAGAAATATGTGAGCATAGAGAGGATACACAAAATCAATTTATATTTTTTGAGTCAAGCTTCTTCATAAAGTCTCAAAATGAAAACGCTTATGAAGTCGAGAATAGATACACGCATTGCCATCATGTATGTATGTGTCACCGCACTCATAAAATTTTGAATCAGACTTGAAAAAACTTTGTTTTTGTGAGTCGCTTTGCGTTCAATGCTCAATGCTCAGCCGAAGGCATTGGCACTAAGAGCCGAAGGCACTGGGAGCCAATCCCCTATACTGATTATGCAGCCAGTTTTAAGTCAGTTTGACGATTCTATTAGTTGTTTGCTTAGTGCTTATATGCAATAGAAAATATAAAATGTTCATCAGGGAAATTACCTAAAACAGACCGGATAGAGAGCTCTGAGGGGTTTTTTAACATTTCCTTATATGCAATGTGTTCTCTTACTCAGTCCCCGGATATGAACTATGATGAAAATCTTTGAGGAACAGTTAAAGAATGTGTTTCTAATACGAAATAAAAGAAAAGGCTTGATATTTAGGGGTCCTGCCAGATTTGTGTAGATAAATCCCCCAGGAAAGACGCGAAAGTAAGGTTACTGACAGGACTCTGAGCCTTTATTTTTGCTGCCAAAAGCCTTAAAACTAATTATTTTCCTTTGAATACAATTAAAGTAAACTATAGTAACGAAAAATTGGGAAATTTTCTTATAAATTTGAAGTTTTTTGAGCTTTTATGAAATTGGTGCCATTTTTGTTGCCGCCCAAATACCTTAAAAGCATACCATTTCTGTCGGATAAGTTGAATTAAACCTCAAAGTTGATATAATAGTTATAAATATAAAATATAATAGATAAAAACGTTCATTAGAACCATTGTTTTAACAGAAAATCTCAAAGAAGAAAAACAAGTGTCATGGTGCTATTTAAAACGCCGCAGCTGTACATATATCTATCAGACCCCCGAATAAGGGTCACATTGGATCATTATTATAGCCACAACGAAAAATTTAATTGCAGTGGCTATACCCTGCATCGGCAATGCATTACAATTACAATGTCATACAAAAATGCCTATAATTGCCCCCGCAAAAGGCCGAAAACCTCCCAAAGCTACAATTTTGAAGATAAAATAAAACTAACGACTAGGGTCGTGGTCGCTTCCTACGCGTCACAACTTTTATACCCGGTACTCAGTAGAATGTAAAAATGATCCAATCGGATCACAATTCGGAAAGAAATGGTCCTTCCCTACGGAATGGCGTGTTTAGTTTTCTTTTATCTTTAAAATTCTGTGCGTTACATACAACCGTTATTCCCCACAAATACAAAACCTCTTAATTCTAAAAAAAACAATGTTTTTTTTTTTAAACCAAACCTGGTTAAGGACGTGTGAGACGCTTCTTACGCGTTACATCTTTTATACCCGGCACTCAGTACTACATCTGCACCTTAGCGGTTTTTTGTCAAATTTTAAATTTTTTTTTAATCTGTCATCTAAATCTACAACACTTCTCACACCAACCACTCCGTTAGCTCTCCGCCCTTCCCAGACCCACACACTGCAGACTCGCGGCTGCGGGACGGGAAGGCGGCGTGGCTCATTTTTGAAATACACTTGCAAAAGTGTGAGCATACAGACGTCTGGATGCAAAATTTGGTGGCTCTAGCTTTTATGGTCTCTGAGATCCAGGCGCTCAACAGGACGGACGGACAGACAGACATGGCTCAATCAACTCGGCTATTGATGCTGATTAAGAATATGTATACTTTATGGGGTCGGAAACGTTTCCTTCTGTGTGTTACATACAACCGTTATTCGCACAAATACAATATACCCAATTTACTCTTCGAGTACCGGGTATAAAAAAAAAGGAAAAACAAATTCTAATCCAGTCCTAGGTCTCGAACCCACGAACCAAGGAGTCTGGAGTGTCGGCCCATCACCCTGATGTTGATTTTAAAATAGGTCTTTACAAATATGTCATTTAGATGACAGTTCCGGCGCGTCTCCCAACGTATTTACATTTAATATGTGTCTAGTAATTTTTCGACAATGTGTTCCATCACTTGCTATGCTAATTTGTTTTAAATTGCTGAAGGCTTTTCCCTGTCATCTCGTTGAGACAATTCTACCTAATATGTAGATGCTCTCTACCGATCTTGCTCTTTGTTTCAGGTGTACGGTACACCGGAGTACATTGCCCCAGAGGTTATCTTGAGGCAGGGCTATGGCAAACCCGTCGACTGGTGGTCCATGGGAATCATTCTTTATGAGTTTCTCATTGGCTGTGTGCCCTTTTTTGGCGAGACGGCCGAGGAACTGTTTGCCCATACAGTCAACGATGACATAGAGTGGCCGGACAGCGAGGACTGGCCGGTTCAGTCGGAGGCGAAGGACATAATAACGCAATTGCTGCAACAGAATCCACGAGACCGATTGGGAACCCAAACGGGTGCAATGGAGATGAAAGAGCATGTATACTTTCTCGGCATGGACTGGAATTCGTTGCTGCGACAAAAAGCCGAGTTTGTTCCTCAGCTTTCGCATGAGGATGATACCAGCTATTTTGATAGTATATTTCACTGATAATTTATGGCTTAACTGATTTGATTGCTAAGGACAATATTTCTCTTTAAACAGCTCGCATGGATCGCTATAATCATGATCTGGCTGGAGAGGATACAGACGACACGGACGATACTCCCGTCTTCGGCAGCTTTAATTCGTATACGCCGCAATATAGGAAACAGCATTACAGCTGGTCCCGCCATGCAGCATCCACATCAACTACAACTGATAAGGCAAAGGCCCCTCCACCCACCCTAGCATGCCTGCCATCACGTGCCCAGGTAATGCCAATTCCAGCGGCAGCGGCTGGCACCTCAACAGGCGCCTCGCCTAAACTCAGAACGGGAACATCAGCAGGAGCAGCATCCAACGAGGGAGCTGTCAACAAGTTCTTGAATACGCCACAGCTGCGCCAATTAGATGTGAGCTGTTTACGGAGAAGTATAATAAATTCAAACAATTGCAACTATTTTGTTTGGTTACAGCTCTCCTCCAGCTGCTTAAAGGTGCCGTCTACCCCAGATGCGGATTTTTTGCCCTGTGAACTGTTCCACAACGTCACCATTGGCAACGATACTGAGCTACGGATGCTTAAGCACTATCTGCAGCAACCGACACCAGCTGCCACGCAGAATTTACACCAACGACACAGCATGCCACCAAACACAATCTCAACCAACATTAGTACACCGGCAACGCCTCCGCCGGCATCTCAGACTCATGCAGCAGGAACCATAGGGACACCGGTGGGCAGCTTTTCCCGCAGCACCCCAGAGAGCTCGCAGACGGACAGCGATGACTTCTCGCCGCAAATCAATCGCAAGCGAAAAGGAGTCTGTGCACGGGATATTCTACCGCGCTTCTCCATTTCCATTGAGGATGAGACAATTTCAGCGGGCAGCTCGTCCACTGAGAATATGATGTTACCAAGAGAACAGTCGCCGCTGGCTTTGCAGCACCAGCCCAAGTCGATGGACGGCGCCAGCAGTGGCAGCATGAAACACCATCGCTCAAGATCTATTGTCAAGTCCGCCTCAGCCTTAGGTCTCTCTCTGATGACGTCACTGGACAATAGTCAATTGGCAGCACAGCTGTGTGGAATTCAGTCACCAGGTGGAGGAGGAAACGGCTCCAGCACGGCAAGCTCCAGGGATACATCCCCTTGTCGAGAGCTGTCGCCGCTAGTGACCAGTTTGAAGCCGCCGATTATTATACGACGAGGGCCTCGAGGTTTTGGCTTCACTGTCCACACAATCCGCGTCTATTATGGCGACACGGACTTCTATACGATGCACCATCTCGTCATGGCCGTCGACGAGGGCAGTCCGGCCTTTGAGGCTGGCCTTCGACCGGCGGATCTCATCACCCATGTAAATGGCGAGGCCGTGCAGGGCCTGTTTCACACACAGGTGCTGCAGCTGCTCCTCAGCGGAGGCGAGCACGTCACCTTGAGGGCCACACCGTTGGAGCACACCAGCATACAAAGCGGTGGCCGCAAGCGCGATCTAATGCAGAGCAAGCTGGCCAAGAAGGGCTTGAATCGTCAGAAGAAGCAAACCAAAAGGGAGCACGATAAGAAACGAAAAACCTCTCTGTTTCGCAGAATAAGCAGCAAGCGTGCAAACGCAGAGATGCAGCAGGTAAGTCATGTGAGTCATCAAGAGACACACCACCTATTTCTAACTTCTGCTGACAGTTTTCCGTTGGCGCCAGCTCACCCACCACTCCATCGGCCAGAAAATTGTTGCCGCTAGACTCTTCGAATCACAGCAGCAGCTGCTGCCAGTCGGCAGCAAACTCTTCATCACAATCCACTTCACCATCGTCCTCGTCGCCCAACACGCCCACAGCCACCAGTGGTAATGGAGGCACAAACAGTTCTTATTGCGGATCTGCCCCTTCCCCGGCTATTCCATCAGCTCTCTGCTTGCAAATGCCCTTGTCCACGCCTCCTGCCCAGGTGGTGCTGCTCCCACATGTGGGTGCTGCGGTTGGCAGCAGCCCCACCTCTGCGGGAAATGTCGCAGGTGAGTAAGTTTTCCCTCAAGGAAACATAAAAACAAAGTAAAATGGGGAATTTGTGTACCCGGTAGCTAGAGCCACCAAATTTTGCATACAGACTTCTGTATGCCTACACTGTTACAAGTGTATTTAAAAAATTAGCCCCGCTCCACAAAGGACGCAAATCTCCCATAGCCACAATTTTTAAGATAGAAGAAAACTAAAAACGCCATTCCGTAGGAAAGGACTATATCTATCAGATCGTCCTGGGATCAGATTGAATCATTATTATAGCCAGAATGAAGAAATTAATTTGCAGTGCCTATACCCACCCTGTCCAGCATATATACATTTTTTTCACATTCTCACATCCACACTCTGCTTCTGTGCGGCCTCTGCCTCTGCCGCGAGTCTGCAGTGTGTGGGTCTAGGGAGGGGGGGCGAGCTAAAGGAGCGTGTTGGGTCGAGATTTGTTGTAGATGCAACTGACAGATAAAGAAAAAATTTAAAAGGTACAGGTACAGATGTAGTCTTATTACCGGGTATCTCGTTATTTTTCTAGTCTCTCCCACTGGAGTTGTTCCTCAGCTGTATCAACGTCCATCTACTCTACATGGTCTTAAGCACAAGCTTCATGCTGCCACCGCCGTGATTGCAGGTGGAAACAACACCAGCAATTCCTCCTGTGGATTAAAGACCTTGCACACCTCGAGCAACAATTCGCTGCCAAATCGCAGGAAATCTGTGGGTCACATTCCGCTTTCCCCACTGGCACGTACACCATCACCCTCGCCCTTGCCGTCGTCGCCTACGCGATCCCCGTCTCCGCTGGCCTTTCCATTAGTCGGCCATCAGCCGGGGGCCTCCAATACCACGCAGTCGTACAGTCCTGGGAGCACGCTTCCCACCTTGCAGGCGGCAGTGAATGCCAACACCAAGAAGAGTGGTTTTGCTAGGACCAAATCGGCTGAACCGAGCTCTCCTCTGTTGCGTCGCGCTTTGTCGCCGGATCGACTGCACCCCCGCAGTGCCGAAACAAAGATTTCGCCTCTCTGCTGCTCACCACCCATCAAACAACCAACTCATCAGCGGGTGGTGACCACCACATGGAGGTCAACATCAACACCCACTGGGGCCAATGTTTCATCAACTGGCGGAGGAGTAGTTGGAACAGGAGGCAACGGAACAACTGAGGAATCACAACGACATTCCGTGACAGGGACTGGTACAGGTGCTCCAAAAGTGGCAGGTGCGGATCCAAGCTCGTCTGCCGTCGTTACGTTGACCAGCTGCGATCTGCTGCCCCGAATTGCCGAAGAGAAGGATTCACCCACCAGCACTCAGGACTGCAGCAGTGTGACCGAGAGATTTATGCCCGCCATAGAGGAGTATACCGAGGGGGAGTCATCGGCGCCCGCACAGACCCTAGATAAGCCGGAAAAGATAAAGGGCAACAAGCAGGATCGGGAGACTGCAGGAACGGCTAAGAAAGTCGAGCTGGGTAAGAGCTTGAACTATCAATGATGAGGATGAATGAGTATTCAGTCTGGTTCCGTTTCAGTTTCCAAACCCAAGCCCCAGAGCAGTGGCTGCAAAACTTCGATGACAACTACAAAGCCGGCCAGCCCCAGTGTGACCATATCAACAGCACCACGCAAGGATACCATTTCTGGCTCGGCAACCGAAGCTCCCACATCTGTAGCTACTTCCACCGTCAAACAAAAGAAGTAGCGCCAGAGAAAGGTGGATGCGGATGCCTATGTTTTAAATTTAGGCTTTAAATGTTTGTCAGCATAATTAGTGAGGGAACCGCAGCCGAGGTGAAGAAGCAGCCGCATAAAGGCAGTATACGTATAACAAAGGACTGCGTTTTAATATTTTTTCTAACTAAGCCTTTTTTTTTGGAAAACTCATTGGTAGCAATGAAGTTAAATTGAACATTTGGAAAAATCGTAGCGTAATCGACAGAAAGAGTGGGAATAAGAAAAGCAAACTTGCCTTAAAACTCTAAATATTGTTAACGAAAATTAACCGAGTGAACCACAGTCAGATATTTCATTTAAAGCAAATCAAAGAGGCGCCACCCCGAAATAATGTATTGTAAATAAATGTATAACATTGATAGATCTAATCATATTTGGATGATAATGAAAGAAAACAGTCATCTTGAGCGAGGTGCATGGAATGCTAGGTATGTGTATTTATAAGAACTTTTGCGAATCTATACCCTATCCCTAATTCAATACAAATAAATGTTCAATGTGTGTAAAAAACTTATTTTAATTTGTTAAATTATTCAGGTTTTAAGCAATACTTAAAAAATGGTGCTAGTTCACCTCGGTGATGATATAATCTTTACTCTACTTCGGATAAGACATGTGCGACATATGGGAAAGTCTAAGTTTGGCACGAATGTCACATCTGTTTTATAGAAGGCAGTTTGTGACATGTTACAAAGCTGCTCTTTGGCCGTTTTACAACACTTTCACAATTTCGAAAAATTTGATTGGCTGAAAGTTGAAAACGCGTAAGAAGTTGGAAAAAATTATTAAAAGTATTTATTTTCGATATAGAATTTCAAAGTACATGGCGGGATGGAATGTAATAGGAAGTAAATCTTAAGATCTTCAGATAATGTTCTGGGCAGGGAGTTGATAAATATTTCGAAGTAATTTTGTATTACAGGTTATTGAACTTGCCACTGTGCACTGGCCATCGACGGGTAGGTAGCGGGATTTTCACACCTGAATTTTTATTGCATATTCGGTTACACCAGAATATATACGCCTGAGTTTAGCCTGCCTATTGAATGGCACTAATTTACCTAAAAACCCTAAATTTATTTAAAAAAAACGTCAACCACAAACTATTTTATTTGTGGTTGAATTTCCAAACTGAATCGAGTTTCTACCTATATTTTCTTGTATAAATAGTGGACCAGAACAGTATTCAATATTTAATTTTCGAATAGCACCAAGGACACTGCGGACTATCTTCCTTGATCTGGACATTTTCCGAGGACGAGAAAGAGACATCAACCGGACTTGCAAGCATGTTAGGAGGACAAAAAACGGCAATTAGCGCGAGGCAATATAAACCGATTTGGGGACCTAGAGGACTACAGGCAGCCGTTTTTTTTGGTCATGGACGAGTACCACTTCTCCTCAATTGGCAGAGCGGATCAGCACAGCGTGTGTATTGATGGCACCCACTACCGTACCGTCCATCTAATTGTGGCATCGCTGAGAGTCCTGCAGTTAGGAAGCATGGAGATCCATGTCGCCCTGAAATAGGTGCTGAATATGCTGGAACTCTGTAACGTGGATCCCAACTTGATTGCCGTTGTCGCCGATGGCTGCTTTGCAAACCAGGAGGTAATGATGTACGCCGCGCAGAGATATCCCGTCCTGTACGACCTCCATCATTTGACTATCGTCATTGGGATACATCCATCACGGGCTTATATACCCGCACGTATGGGGAGAATTGGGAGCAGGAGTTCCCAACCATTGGAGAGATAAATCCACCGGCCAATGTGAGCGCCGTCAACGTTCAAGAGTTGACACAAATCAAGGATGTAGTACGACGCAAGTTGGCCCTGGATGGAATCCCATTCCGCCTGACGCACATACATAGTGGAAGGAGTGAGGATTTCGGAAAATCTCTTAGGATCAGTAATCATCCAGAAATACGCGTCGGACTCCATTCAAACTTTCAGCTGGTGCCTTGAGTGCCTTGGTGAAAACATACACATGCATAAGTATGTAAGCATGTATAACCACGGTTGAAAGTGAAAATGGCCAAACGGTAAGTAATTTATAAATTTGGTTTTGTATGTTCTATTAAAGAACTAATTCTATATTTGCAGTTTAAAAGTAGCTCTTATTGGCTACGAAATTGACGAACTTGTCAATCGAACTGCCGATCCCGCTGCAACTCCGCCGCCCCAAACACCGGCGGTTGTGTAGCTAACAAGCGCAGCATCTCCACAAGAGCCAAGAAGTCCGCCGCCGCCAGAATGTCTCGATATTCTGGAAAACGTTTTGATAGGTAAGGTAGCAATTTTATAGTATTTGAAGTCTATACAACGAACACTTATTTTCCAGAGCCCCCAATACCCAAACAGGCGCCAGATTCTGAGGCGGGTGAATTGCTGGGACCAAAAGTCGGGAGGTCCATGTATGGCCGAACAATTTTGCCAAAGCCCAACCTAACATCAGGCTTGAGGACGGACAGCACAAACACACATGCCAGCAAGGAAAAGACCAACGACAACTCTTCATCTATGCAATCTTCTGGCTTGGCGCACTCTGATTCTGTCAAAGACAACGGACAACCGTCTTTCTTCAAAGGTTTGTCAAACTCCCTCAGTGATTCGAAGATGCGCCAGGATTTGTTTATGCGTAGCAGTGCCCAGGACACTGCGATCATTGCGGCAACACCGCAGGCAACAACATGCGACACACTAAGGCTTGCTATCTTATTGTAAAGCCATACGTATGCCAACAGTGTGGCTTTTGCGCAGAAACTTGAAGACAAAAAGACAGGACATCAAAAATGCAAAAAATAAAATAAATAAAGTATTTTCTTAAAGATCTTAATATTTAAGATTCTTCCTATTTCCCTCCAAGTACTTTGAAATAAATACTTAAAAATGAATACTTTCAGCCAATACAAATTTTTCAAAAATTAGGGATGATAGTCCCTGCAACCAATAAGAAATCAGCGTGGTTTTTTTTAGACTGAAAATTTCGCAGTCTAGAAAAGAAGCCGATTAAACACTAAAATACCTAGGAGAAGAACCGAATAAGTATATCTTCTGAAGACAGAAGGTCGAATGGCATTTTCTGCCCTTTGTTTAATGAAGGCTCCTTACTTCATTAACTTCAATTAGTTAAGCCGGTATTTTCACCGGGCCCTGACGGAGTTCCCGGCTGTGTACTCAGGTACTGTGCCGAGTCTCTGTGCGGACCTTTGCTTAAACTATTCACTCTATCCATCCATTCTTCTAGCTTTCCCCCCATCTGGAAGGAATCCTTTATAATTCCTCTCCATAAGAAAGGTAGCAAGTCTGACGCTAAAAACTATAGAGGTATATCTAAGTTATCCGCTATTCCTAAAATGTTCGAGAAACTTTTATTTCCGCACTTGCAGCATCTCTGCAAATCACTTATATCTCCAGCTCAGCACGGATTTATACGGCGACGATCAACAACCACTAATATTTTAGAGTTCACCTCCTTTGTCATTAAAGGATTCCAAGTTAACTTGCAGACGGATGTTATTTACACTGACTACAGCAAGGCATTCGATTCTGTAAACCATTCTCTTCTTGCACAAAAGCTCGACCTTCTAGGGTTTCCGCCCAATCTGTTGAGATGGATTTCTAGCTACCTGTGTAGCTTTACCTGTTATGGTTACTTCTGGAGTACCACAGGGTAGCCATTTAGGCCCCTTACTTTTCACACTCTTTATTAATGACCTGCCTTCTGTATTAACAAATTCTCGAGCACTTTTGTATGTGGATGATGTTAAACTCTGTGTCCAGTATAAGGACCTTTCATTTCACTCTCGCAACGTTAGACTAGAGTTATCGAAAGTCAGTACCACGACACGTTTATACAATGTTGAATTACGGAGCTTCACGTTACATTACTGAAGAATAGCGAGGTCGGGGAAGGACCGAGGAATGTGGGAGACGCCATCAAGAGAACTCTCTTAATGTAACCAACTACTAGATCCACAATTTGATCTGGGTTTCAATTTCAAAAGACAACACATTTCTACCATGGTAAATAAAGCCATGGGTGTGCTTGGGTTTATAAAGAGGTGGTCAAAGGAATTTGAGGACCCCTATATAACGAAGACTCTCTATATCTCGCTTGTTCGTCCGATTTTAGNGCGGTAGTTCTCTTGAGAGAATTACATTGGTTGATGATCTAGGTGTTAAACTAGACCCAAAGTTAAAGTTTTCTGAACACATTTCTACCATGGTAAATAAAGCCATGGGTGTGCTTGGGTTTATAAAGAGGTGGTCAAAGGAATTTGAGGACCCCTATATAACGAAGACTCTCTATATCTCGCTTGTTCGTCCGATTTTAGAATACGGCTCATGTGTATGGTGCCCTCAGTACAACATACATCAAGACCGTATTGAATCAGTACAGAAAAACTTTTTATTATTTGCCCTACGGGGCCTCAACTGGGATGCAACTGTGAGACTGCCATCCTACCGTAGTAGACTTCTTTTAATAAATCTTCCATCCTTAGTTAGTCGTAGAAAAATGCTTGGTGTAATTTTTATGCACAACTTGATCAAGGGGGATGTAGACAGCCCTGACTTGCTGAGCCGCATAAACTTTACGATTCCCATTAGACCCACTAGAAACTTTATTCCTTTGTTCCTTCTACTATGTAGATCGAATTATGCCTCACACGAACCCTTTAGGGTTTTATGCTCGGATTATAATTCCCTCTACCACATTATATCCTCGACTAACTCCCTTCCTCTTCTTAAATCTCTTATACTAGCCTACCTCTCCCGTAGTTAGTTTCATTTTAGCTTTGTCTTGTTTCTGACTTTGATAGTTTTGCTTGCTTAGCTATACCTGCTCTAGTCTAGTTGTGTTTAGTTCTAATTTCCCTCGAATATTAGCCTAACATCTATCTTTCCTGAATGCTCGCGTCATGCGGCATCGCCCCTCGGTCGGTTGGGCGGGAGGAGGGCTGCGTTCTGCTGGGTTCCGCGCGTAACAGGCTTTGGCTTGGTGTCGCATGGGCCACTTGATGGTGCAGTCATTGCATATCAAAGTCCAGACAACAAAAAAAGAAACAAGGAAGGAAACAAGCGAAACAAGAGCAAAGGTTCTAGAAGATTTATTAATCTTAAACTCGGTACTTATTTTATCAATTTATAAAGAGATATGTTTATTGCATTTCTATCCGACCGGAACCGACTTATCCAATATTCTCTGCTTTCTCCATGCATTGTTGTCCTCCAATTTCCATTTCCACTCTTTTTAACGGATTTAATTATTTTTAAGCAAAAACAAAGCAGTGAAGCCAGGAAGCATGCATGTTGTCCACTTTGGTCACACTGGGCACAGAGAGAAATATATGGTAAAGCCTAGTACTCAGATCGAAAAAATGGGGCCGCAAAAAAATCAGGGATGATATTTGTATGGAACCGATAAGAAATTTTTGTGCGCACAAGTTACTTTCTAGCGTCCGACGAATCCAACGATCGTGAGGTGGCTCAAGGGGGCCTAGCAGAGGCC